TATGATTAACATTTACAATTTTATTGGCTAAATCTAATATGCATGATCGGGATCATCATCTCCTAATTTGGGACGGTCCTACCTGTACCCTTTTATATATTAATGCTAATTTAATTCACGAAATCCAATTTTTCCACCCCTGAAATTGTGAGAAAATTAAAGGTCAGATAAATATGTGAGATTTTTTTTTTATAGCGTTTTTAGTGTTAGTTATAATGTTGCTTAAAAATGCTTTAACTGATTTAGCTGATTTCACTGACAAAGTTTGCACGGGACTGAAACTTAGTGAAATTATTCTTGAATTTAGGTGAGAAATCACTAAGTTAATTTCTTGTCGTTATGTATCTGAAGTTACGCTGCCACTAGGGTGACATCGGAGAACTGGAAGCACATCGTGGCCACAGACATGCAATGTCTGTGAACGTCCTTCTCTGTTATGTCTGTTCCGAAAAGCTTGTCCTGCTTCGCGCGGAGGTTGTGGTGAATAGGATGCAATTAATGATAATTACTTATAAAAATTTTTTTTTTCTTTATAGATCAGGAAACATTTTGTTTGGAATTCACAAAAAACGTTATGTTTTAGTATACTGCAACAACAAAGTTAAAGGAATACTTAAAGTTTGTGATATTGAACAATTTCTTGAAATCGTTGACGAGTTGCCGCCAGATAATACTGTGGCTATTCATGTAACATCAGTTCCTGTCGCTTTCTCGAGGATTACTGTTAAAAAATGTGCAAGTTTGCCAAACAATATTTTATTCACAAATATTCAAGAACTTGATCGTGTTATCGAAGGATACTTTCTAACGAAACAGGACTCTGTTAAGGATGACATGCGTACAATAATAAGAAAAGTTGAAGAAATAAATAAGAAATTCGAGAAATCTGAGACTCAAAGAAAAGTAGAAAAAATAGTTATAATTTTTTTACTTACCTTATTACTGTTAGCATATATCGATCTTTTTGGATTTTCTAAAATTTTATTACAATTAGTGATTGATTCATTTTTAAGTTTGTATTCATTTTGCATTTTTCGAATGCCTTAATTTTTTTTAAAAGTTTTTACATTCAATTTGCTGGGCTTTTTCTACAATATCATATTAAAATTATTCACTTTTTTAAATAAATATATAAAATATATATACATTGAAAAATTTTATTTGCTAAATGTACATAAATATATTTGCTCAGTAGTCAATTTAATTAAAGAATCTTGTTCGGAGTGAAGTGGAGGACACTATATGTATAAAGTGATAAAAATATTTATTTGTCGATTTAGAAAAAAAAAATCTTTGAAGTAATATAGAAGCATTATATTTTGCTTTTGTTACCAATCGCCAACACCTGATATTATGTTTTCAATAATCTTCTACTTTTTTACCTACAGTTATTATGGAGTTGTGATAATGATTTTGCCATTTTTAGTGTTCTTGAGAATTTTACCAGGGTGAATAACTTTAAATAATTAAAGTGTTTTAATCCATTTCTCTCTTCTTTTTTTTTAATAAATACTCTCTTGAATATTGGAAGAAATTTTATATTCTTCAATTAAGGATTTCATAGTAGGAATATGATGCGATCCATTTAAAAATTTTGTTGTAAAACTGTTTAAATTTGTATAAACAAATTAAAAGGATCACATTTCTAGAAAAGAGACCAAGTGTTAAAAATTCCGCACAAATATGCAGTGCAAAAATTTTTTATTACGTGAAGTTATTTTATTTTTTGAGCATTTTGCATGGCCCATTGTTAATTTACTACGAATTTTTAACATTGACAGTACTATATATTACTTTTAAATAATCTAACTAAATTTAGGTGGTTTATAATAATATTATTTCAAGAATTTGAATAATAGAAATAAGTATCTTACATTTTAAACAGGATTATTGTTTTTTTTTTTTTTTTTTTTTTTAGCACTCATTGGTTAATTTCATTTCGATATATTTTTATACGTACAATAAAAATGCCATCAATTTATTGTTGTAAAAGTTTATAACTAAAGTTTTAATTAAATTATTAATACACAATCGAATAAATCTATTCGTATTGTAATTGATTCATATCGATATTAAAATTGAATGAATCTACTATTCGTGAAGTAAAGTCAAAAAGAAATAATTCGTTTACTAATTATAAAATAAATCTCAAAAACCCTTTCTATTACATTTGAAGTTAGTGCGAATATTAAATATAAATATATATCGTTATTATTATTGACTTTTCACATGATTTTGCGGTCCCATGGGACCGCGAAATCATGTGATCATTTAGCTTTGGTGAACTTTGCATTTTATCACCGCAAAAAATTATCGTCCCCTGATACTAACATTTCCTTAACAAATTTATTAGCGTAGTATTTTATTACACGTATATAGTCATACGTATAGTCAAAGAGGTTGTTATTTCTACTCCTATGCTCACGATTTTCATTGGTTTTGTATATATGTTTGTTTGAAAATCTTTAAACTTTTATTTTGTATTGTTAAAAGAAGGACTTGCGTATTTGTTAAGTTCATATAAGACAAAGGCATTTAAAATTAATGTCGAATTAATCTCAAAAAAAGTGAAATGTCAAAAAGGAAAAATAAGGACATACTTTTTAGCACTATTGATCTTACAACTTTTTATTCTTACATTTCTTTGCCCAGCTCTTGGTAATACAGATCTTATAATCGTATTTTTTTAATCTAAGCAAAATTGACGTGTTTAAGTTCTTTTTATCACTGTCAAAAGTTCTCACGAATGGCTTGAATCGATTAACTATGAATATAACCAATCAATTAGCATAGCTATGTTTGCATAACTATGGCCCATCAAGCAAAGCCCGAAGGAAAATCCCTCAGCGCCATTTAAGACCCTATTAATTTGAAGTCCATATTTATTGCATCTAAACTCTTTATTTCCTCCTAAATTACCTTTAATATAACCACAACTGCTGCATGTTTTACTTGTGTATGCTTCCGAAACAGATGTTATTACAATTTTACCGAATTCCTCCATTTTAGATATTAATCGCTTTCTAAACCTAGCATGTGCCCAACTCATCATCTTTCGAACTGTCTTGCTATTAATTTTTCTTTTTTGTCTGCGAGACATTCGTGTGCTATCAAATGTTGGTAACACAATTATGTCGAAAGTACGAGTTAACCATAATGATGCTTTTTTATGTACTTCATCTATCAAATTTTGAATTCGTTTCCTTAAACGTGCTTGAGCACGTTTCATGGAATTACGTTTTTTTGCTAGTGTTCTAGCAGTGCGTGAAATAAGATTATCAAGGGCTAGTCCTAGGCGAAAAATGCGATTAATATCATTATCACCAAAATTTCCATGTCCAATAGTTGGTGAATACCAAGTGAGAAAAGTACGGACTCCAGGATCTATGGCCGCCACGTGAATATAATCTGCTTGGTTTTCGCAGACTTCTTTACCATAAACCCAAATAAAGGGCCAATGTCATAATTTTTTATTATATGATAATTTTGAATCTAACATTACTTTTCCTTCTTGATTTGGCCAGCCGTTATTTTTTCGTTGGTGTTCATGATGAAGTGGGAGCTTTACATTATTTGGTTTATATCGTACATGCCCAGACTCAATAAGCTGCTTAAGTGGATCACGACAATATTGAGCTCGGATAGATATTGTTTGTTGCTCATTCTTACATATAATTAATAATATAAATGAATAACGATAATAAATAATAAATATATAATCATAACGACAGGTAGCTTAAAAAATGATTACCTTTATTAAATTTGCTTCATACAAAAGAAAATTTTTTTTTACAATGAATATTTAATGTATATATAAATATATATCATATTAATAAAATGTAACGATAAGAATTTTTGTTATCAATTTAATTAAGCTACAAAACGCATTCTTATCGTTATTGTAATACCAATTTTAAGTCGAAAGACGACGCCGATCCATCACTACGTACATCTCGAAATAACGCCCCAGGATGTAGTCTAATATTTTGGCCTACATTAAGTTTAAATTGGCCTAAATTAAGCTTAATGTAGGCCAAAATATTTAAATTACACCTTGGGGAAGTTATGATACGGTATTTCCTACATACGTCTCATATGTGTTTTAATTATATGGTCTTTTCTGAATGATTATCTTGAAGTTAGCTTAGAAAAATATAAACCCATGGTAAGCTAATTTGACGCTTTAGTTATTCCTCTTTTATTTTAACACAAGAAAAGTCGCATCAAATAATTTTCTATAATTTCGAACTCATTTTATTCTCAGACGGCATCAAGATGCCGTCGGAGAACGAACTGAGTTTAAGATGTGCTAACTTTTTAATGAATTGTGTTATTTTGGCTCATGATATAACGGATCTGACCCGTTGGGAACCCCATAAATTTTGAAGGAACCATAAAATCAATTTTTTAGGTGCTTGCATGAATCAAGTATATCGTTTCCTTTTTGTTTTATTTTATTTTATTTTTTATTTTTTGTTGTATTTTAGTTTTTTCTTCAATGATGTAAAATTATAAAATTATTCTAGCGTATCCATGAAATTATCGAAAAAGAAACTATTTGAACTAAAAAAATAAAATAGGTAAGATTTATGCTATTAATAAAACTACATTCAGATATGAACAAGGTCAATATTGAATTGCTCCAATATAACCTAGACCCTAGGATGTTATATCTATTTTTACTACATCAATATCTTATAAATAAATCTACTCAGTGGTATTAATTCAAATACTCACGTGTTTAATATTATTTTCAGGAAAGTTTTGCTCTCATATTAAATTTCTTCAACAATTTTTTAGCTGAATTAATATTTGGCATAACGATATAACTTTATTTTTTATACAATATGGGGTTCACAAACTTAATATCGATATATGTTAAATTCGAATGTAATTTTTTAAATTTTTTAAAATAAAGGTTTTAAAACTAATTTGCAATCGCATATCTTTTAATAATTTGAGTTAAAATTCCGATAACATAGCGATAGGTATTTCATACTAAGACACTTAAACTTCCAAAATTTATTAAATTCATTACAAGTAAATATAAATGCTTTTTACATTAACATGAATGTAGTAGTATTAAATAACATAGTCATTCTATTAGTTGCAAACCGCAGATATTTACGTAGCAACACAATTCAAGTTCAATTTCAAGTCGACATATCAGGGCATAATTACTGCTAAAAGCCAATTACTGAATTAATAAATAAGTCAATCAATCGTCCAGGCCAACAACGATTCATTCTCATGATATACTAAGTGTTAAGATCTCTAAAGTATTAATGAATATATTACAGGATTATTCAAGCTAATAACGATATGTATAATTGAAAATTTGAATACCCGAAATTATTATCGGTGGCAAAAATAATTTCTTTAAGCAGTTCTATTTGAATAGGAAAATGTCAAAAAATGAGTAAATAAATGATGTAAATATGCTTTTTTAAAATTAGACCCGTTATTATCATTCTGTAGTGTTTATATTATATTAATTACAATTCAAAATCATAATATCGAATTGCACAAGTTTTTTGTTATATAATCAGTCGATAGCACTTTTTATTATGAGCTGGACTGTTGACATTTCAAAACTATTTAAAAAAATAAATTTATCCGGGCTAACAATCTTTTTCATAATAATTCATGCTTCAACTCATTAATTCATTTCTAATTATAAGCCGTGTTGTTAATCTTTCTAATCTATTAATAATAGAAAGTCCGGATTAATAACATTTTTTATAATTAAAAAAGACTTTCAAATTTTAATATCAGGGATTGAATCATCATCATCAGCACTTATTGGCAAACGTCTGGTGTATGAAGAATGGTGTCGGTAGCAAAAACATGCTCTAAAGTACATAAAGAGTTCATTTCTCTAAGAGTTTCTTTTGCTCGTGCCGGAGTAATAAAAAAATCCAATAAATTTACTATTGATGCTTTCGGAGAATCGAGTGCGTCATCACTTGATGGTGAAGATGATGGAGTTGATAAAGTAATTGCTTGTGATAAGACCAATTTTTTTCCAGCATCACTTATTGTCAAAGAGTCAAAGTCAGTATTAATATTATTGGCCTTCCATTCTTGCTTCTTTCTTGAAAGCTTGTTCATCAACTTGTCCATTTTATTTGCATTTTCAGCAATGACAACCTAATCATGGAAGCCTTGAATTACATTGTTAGAAATCTTAAATATAATGTCTCATTGATGTTAATAAATACTCACGATTAATTCATAAACAGTGAATAAAAATTGTAGAAAATTTACTTTATCCATAATCTTTTTGTTCAAAGGGATCTCAGCCCGGTTTAGAAGTCTTGAACGATAAATTTGTTGCATCATATGATCAAGAACAGATGTTTCCATTGTCTTCTCTGCATAAATATTAATGATTATTATTATAAATAAATAAATAAACTTAGCAAAACAATGCTTACTTTTTACTTGAATCATGAATACATATAATTCATTTAACAGAATATCTAAATCTGATTCCTCTAAAATTGGTCCAAACTCTGCAATTATAGCTAGTTCGCATAAGCTTTTTTCATCTTTGGCATTGCGATTGTTTCTACCAAGATCAAATCTTTCTTTATTTGGAAGTTTTTTTGAGGGTGGTCCACTCACTTCACCAACCAAATGTACATAATCATATTGATCACATAAAATTAAATCACAACGGCGACCTATTGCACTTTTCTTCTTATTTAATCCAAGTAATTTATAAAGGCGTTTTCTTTGAGTGGATCCAGTAGATGTTATTATTAAGTGTACATCAATTAAATAAAAAAATAAAAATAAAAATAGCAACTAATTAAAATATATTCATGCTTACAATAATGTATAAAGGTTAGATCTGAATATGAAACTATAAATTGTATCAGATGTGTATTGTTGTTCACTAATCTTGTCTATATTATATGAATTTGACCAGATAGTTTGTTCCCTACAAATGAGAATTTCAAATTAAACAACTAAATAAACTACTATATATAATGAATCGACTATTTACTTACATATGGTTCAATATATTTCACATTGTATTTTTTCTTCATGACTACAATTTGGAGAAATTTCTGGCTTTTTTGAATTATTGCGTAACGGTGCAGTATTTAAACCAGTATACCAATTTAGAATATCATCTACATAGCTCTTTACATGTAAAGCATTAGAATCATTGATTGGAATGGATAATTTTTTTGATAAATCATCCAAGTCATTTTTTGACAATTTTTCCTTTAATTGAGGGTCCAGAATATCTACGCATATTACGCTACTTTTAATAGGACTATAAATTGATAACAACGATTAGTAACTATTAATAAAACACATATATAAACATAATTTATTTACTCAAAGTATTTGATGTCATTATTATATTCTACAGAGTTTATATGATCAATAAATAGCTCGTAAAGATATTGCCGACTCGCTAACGAAACCTTGTCATTCTAAGTAAAACAAAAATAAAATTTGCTAAATTTGTTGAAAAGAAAAATACAATTCTTTTGATTACCGTGGTGCCTTTAGATTGTAAATAATTGTCCTTCAGGGTTAATACAGTTTCAAAAACTAATTGAAGTTCTTTTGCATCGTTTCCAGAAATAACTTCCCATAGGATCTTCACTCTTGCAGATGTCATGTTTTCCTAAAGACTTAAACCGTGAAATATAACACGGATATCGGTTATATTCTATATAAGTTTCAAATTTACCTTATATTGCTTTAGAAGAAAATCTCCTTCATCACCATGTTCATTCTTAAAATATCCTAAAAAGCTTGCATAATGACCATTTTCTAGCGGATCCACCACAAAATCTTGTTGCTTGATACGATAAAGTAAGAAATTATACAAATTCCATGTAGAAATTTCATTCTCCTTAAAAAATTGAAGGTGAGTTCGTTTTGCAAATTTTGATATAGTCGTTAGATAATGATTATGGTTTTTAAACTCCATTTATTCGATCAGCGGATATGTCCCAAAATTTTATGACCTGATGTACGTTAATAGTAAATTTGCACATCAATTTTTTAAAATTTTATATTAAAAAAGAACTTTGAAGATCTTATTTTTTGC